AGAAGAGTATGGGTGTTGAACTGGTCTGTGTGCTGTTCAGATCAGCTGAAAACATCAGGAGCATTAAACAAGAAATACAACAAAGAAGATCCAAGTCTGTTGCATAGCTAGAATCTTATTTTAAACAAGAATGGGACATCATTCCTCATCTGGAAGTCTAGCAGCGGATCTTTCAGTTTCCAGATGTTTATCGATTGTTGTTAAAAAAAGAGGTGGTAAACATGGCCCTGCCCCAACCTTTTTTCAAATTCTACATTCAAAATTGCCCTATTGTGTTTGTTAAAATGGTACATGAGATTTTTTTAAAATAAGATTTGAAAATCATTGCATTCACTTTTCATTTACATTTTACACAGAGTCCAACCTTTGTTTTGGAGTCAGGGTTGTAGAATTTTGGACCTGATTGTTAAAAATCACGAATCTTTACTGCCCTCTAGTGTTCAAAGCAACTTTTAAACCCTTGAGTTATGTCAATGTAGGCAATACTTCCGGTAAATTCTTTTCAAAATAAAGAACCAACTGAACCGTTAATAAAGGCGCTGACTGAGTGGATTTTAAATTATTAAAAGATGACGATGAAAATCGCTTGGGGAGATTATTTCAGCTCCGTTGGAAACAGAATGATTTTATAATTGTAACAATAAAAAATGTAGAACTCAATTCTTTCAATAGAGCAAAAATAAATATGTTATTGCGGCGAATCGTTAATTTTTTTTTTTTTTATTTACAAGCGCTTTAGAGGAAGCGGCACCGCACATACAAACAGGCGTGGACAGGCCCTGCCTGATCCATCATGCTCACTTCCCTTGTCTGTGACGTCCATGTTTCCCCCTCACTCTCCCACTGAGTGCATCTGCTGTCCTATCTAATCTTTGCCTAAAATCACAGCGATAATCCTGCATCCATCTGTTCCGAGAGAAAGAGAGAGAGTGAAAGACAAAGCACCGACAATCTGAAAACCAACACCATTTTAATGCGTCATCATGTTTTAGGTGATAAAATCCCGATGACACAATTGCACTGAAATAGTGACATCATCTTAAATTGCTTGAATTTTATTATACACAAGGTTATCTCACATGTACACTTTTTTACATAAAATATTTTCCATATATTTGCATTTTTAAATACAGATCTTTTCTTGTCTTTTTAATTAATTTTTTTTTTTTACACCAAATCCCACCAGATAACCACACATTTCATTGAGGATGGGAAGGAAAACATTGGAGCAGCCATAAACTGAGACAAAGAAGAAAAAAGCAGATCAAAGATACATTGATACAACACGCACAAAATGAACTTGTTCACAGTTATCATCATTCACGTCTTTAAGACTTTTCACTCAAAAAATGGCAACTGACCTTTTGCACTTTTTTTCTTGTAATTATTCGACACAGCAACACATTTAAAAACTAAACCCCCAAGTGAATCAAACACGTCCTTTTTAAACAGTCCAGCACTGCAGTTTTATCTCGCAAACATGACCCACTGAGTACCACCAACAGATGTACGGTCTGTCAGCACGAACAGATGCAGGAGTGGTGTGTGTGTGTGTGTCTGTGTGTCTGTGTGTACACAAGTCCAGTACTACTACAGATTACCTCGCCCGTATGTGACTGTACTCCATTTCCCAGCTGCCAGTGCGCTTGACAGGCAGGAAGCTGAGGTTCTCTACTCTTACAAGATATAAGTGAAGCTGAACTTCACACATTCTCTAATAATGTTCGCCTATCAAACTCTGTCTGCACGATTCACTGTGCACTCGCATGAAATTAGCCCCCCTGTGTGTGTTTGTGTGTAAAAGGGAAAATATGAGGGCTGGCACAGTACTGCACCACTGTGTCCATTAAATATGCTCACTGCACAACTTTTCAGCACCTGCACCCAACACAACAGCACACTTGCTGTCACACACACACAGACACACACAGTCGATCTGAAAAGTTTGGATTTACCCGCACAAACACGACTGATGTTGAGAGAAAGATAAGACAAGGAGGAAAAATGGAGGGAGAGGCTGCCAGAGAAACAAGAAAAGGCATAAACAGAAAGTGCTGGGAGGCCTGGGAGTGTTATAAATATGTACCAAGCTGAGGGAGACTATACACACTGAATAGAAAGTGGGAATTGTCAGATGATTACTGGCGACTGTGACCTGTAAGCGTGGCTGGACATGAGATGCAGTGAGAAACTGTAGGCGGCAAAGTCAAGCACACAGGTGAAGGGAAGTTTTACAGCTTTACACTCATCTACGTACGACTTTACAACACCTAAGCACCTTTTTTCTTTTCACTTTGATTAGGAAGTTTGAAAGTTAAACTCAGTGGCGTCGTGGCGTTGTGGCTGGTGGCGTCTGTTTAGTTTATCTGGGAGCTTTGAGAGCTTGGATTTGGTGATGAATTCTGCATTGAATAGAAGTGTGAGGTTTTTAAAACTGAGGCTCTGAAGGTGCTTTCCCAGCAAAATAAAAGTAAATGCATGACTCACACATAAAAAATTAAAAACAACACAATCCCAGTGGCTTCAGCAAGTTGCTATACAGGCCCACAACTCTCTCGCTCTTCCTGTCTCTCTCTCTC